TGCCCCAGGCTCAGCCCGGAGCTCCCTTCCACATTCTGAACCCCTTGGCCCCACCCCCCAGCCTAGAGCCCGCACGTCAGCCCAGTGAAAGTGAGTGAAGGTGGAGGAGAGCGAGCCACCAAGGGAAGGGGGATAGAGTGAGAAGGGGTGGGGAGGTGCAGAGCCTCAGGGAAGGGGCAAGGCAAGGGTGTTTGGTTTTGTGCGATTAGACAATTGGAAACTGTATGTAGTCTAGATAATTACTCATGGGATTGAGAACAAGGGATTCCTGTGTTTCAATCTGGGCTCTAACAAAAAGTTCATCTGTGACCTTGGTTAATTCAACTTTATGGTCAGTTTCTGAGTACCCATAATTCCTGTTGACTTCCATTGGGCTTCTAGGTATTCAGCAGCTTTCACGACCAGGGCATCAATTTTCCCAGCTGTCACAGGTACCGGCTTCCTCCAGACCCCAGGGGTGCTCAAACCCCAACCCCCGGCTCCACCCCAGGCTCTGCCCCTACCCCACCTCTTCCCGCACCCTCTCTGCCCCAGGGCCAGCCCCCACTTCATCTCTTCTCCCAAGCCCCACCCCCACACCACCTCTTCCTGCCCAGTTCCGCCCCCTTCCCAGAGCATGCCTCATCCCCGCTCCTCCTCCTCCCTTCCAGCGCCTCCTGCACACCACAGAACAACTGATCCACGGGGGGCAGGCGAGTGGTGCTGGGAAGGAGGGGGAGGAGTTGATCAGTGGGGCTGCCAGGAGGCGCTGGTGGGAGAGGAGGAGCTTAGCTGCCGGTGGGTCCTAAGCACCCACTAATTTTTTTCCACGGGTGGTCCAGGGCTGGAGCACCCACGGTGTCGGTGCCTATGGTTCCTTTTAAGACAGATTCTTTTTGTTGAGAGAAAACCATCTGTAGTCACCCCTATCAGTCAGAGGCCCTCCTTTTAGAAACCTTCCCTTATCTCATTCTTTGAAACAGACATCCTCCTGACTTCAAGAAAACATTCTACAAATACGTTACAAGTAAGAGGAAGACCAAGGACAGGGTAGGCCCATTACTCAATGGGGGAGGAGGGGGGACAATAACAGAAAATGTGGAAATAGCAGAAGTGCTAAATGACTTTTTTGTTTCAGTTTTCACCAAAAAGGTTAGTAGTGATTGGACGTCTAACATAGTGTAGAACTGATGTATGAAATTGTTTTTAATTGTTCTCTTTATTAATGTAACTTCATAAGTAAAGTTTTATGAATGAAACAACATTCATTCATAAAACCGATTACCCCAATAACTGGCTAATTGACAATTAAGATGCTTGTTAAGAGCCATAGCTGTTCAGCCAGTTGCCCTTGTAAGTTTCACTGTCAATCCAATTCCTGCTTAAATCACTGAGACTTGCGCTGTTTCAGTATTGTAACTTCTGTTCACTGTTTGCCATTCACTACACTTGTCTACTTCTGTTCACTGTTTGCCATATTGTAAATTCAAACTCCATTTTACTAATGCTTACTCCATTTTGTAAGCTTGCTGCAACCTTCATGTTTGCAAAACCCTGCTTGTAATCTTATTAGTTTAGTTTAGATGTGTGAATGAGGTATGTATGGATGATGGAATCAACCTCCAACACCAGCCTGTCCTGATGAAATAGAGTTCAAACTCCAACGGCTGAAGATGCAGACAAGAGCCCTAACAAAGTAAGAAGAGTCCACCCTAAAAAGAAAAGAACAAAGGTACAATAGAAGGAAGATCAAAGCCAGGTCCAAGGCTGAAAGTCACGTCTGCAATTGACGAGTGATCAATCACCAAATCCCAGAGGCAGCGTGATACAGCAAGACCCATAGACTCTGGATTCAAACTAAAGCCTACAAAAAGGATGGGTGAGATGGAAGACTTTGGAGGGT